TGGCCCACTGTCTCGATAATTTTATCGATGGTATTATAACTGACCCTCACATTGATCAGCAGCTTATCAGTGCTTGCTGTGTATTTTCATGTCACTTTCTCAGGAATAATCCCCAGAATAATCCCATAAATAAAGCACCATTAATGTTCCCATTTTGCTGAGAGCTTGTTCCATTGTGTTTTGTGTTGTGCAGACAGTTGGTACAATACCTGGTCTCATGTGTACTAGATAAATGCTGTACTACTGAGCTATACCCCAACCCAATGGTGTCCATTTTATAGATGAAAATACCAAGCTTGTATGAGTATAAGGGGCTACTAAGAATTCTGTAGAATTCTTTTTGTGTGTGTTTTTTGATACAGAATCTTGTTCTGCAATTTCTATTGTCTCAGCCTCCCAAGTGCTGGGATTACATGTGTGTGCCGCCACACCTGGCTAGATTCCTTTCTTTTTTTTCTGTTTTCTAGAGGTGTCCTCAAATATGCTGTCCAGTGAGTGAATCAGGCCTTGAGGGAGGGCTGATGGACAGTGACAGTGCCACCGTGGTGACACTCGCACTCTCAAGCTGGGTCTCCATTATGCACATTGGTCTCCAGTTTTGTGGATGGGTCGTCTGAGGGCTTGGAGGCTCAGTGGTGAGCTCAGGGTCCTGCAGCTAGGGCAAGAGATCAAGTCAGCAAGATAAAATGGGTCTCCTTTGGGTGGGAGAGTTAAGGCCTGAGTCTGCCATCCATTCTGCAGTTCCTTTTCTACCTCATTGTCCCCAGCATGTTTCCCAAGAGTCCAAGCACTTCCCTAACCTTGTATGAAACCTCTCATCTCACAGCTGGGGGAACTGAGGCCCAGCGAGGAGCAGGAACTCACCTGGTTGTGTAGGGTATCAGAGTTGCTATTGGGACAAGAACCAGAATTATCTGGTAGATTTTCCAACAAGGGAAAGGTTGATTTCCAGACATGGCAGGCAGATGGATAGCCGCAGCCCTCAGGGTGGCCCAGGACAATGCATGGGGCAGAAGTGGGGGTGCCCAGGGAGAAGGCTGCCAAGAAGGGTGGAGCAGCTTCCAAGAGGAAGAATACCAAGAAGCCCAGGACCAGACGGAAACCAAATGTATTTTCTAGGTCCTAAGAGGATATTTGGAACAATGGCAGTGGGATGGGGGAAGCTGGACTATAAAAAGGACTTCTTGATTTAAAAAAAAAAAAAAATAGAAGTGGGGTCTTTATGTTTGACTTTTGTTTCCCTGAAGGATATTTATATAACTTCCTGAAAGCAGGATCCCAGACAGAGCTCTGCAAAGTTTGTCACGTGCTGTTGTTTGTGGGGCAGGGCAGGACTTCCTCAAAGAGTCTCCCAATTTTATAATTGGTGTAAAAGGGGCTGGGTGGTGGGAGTGGCTGCCTGAGGTCACACAGTGAGGTGGCAGCGGTCTTCCTGTGCTTTGTGAGGGGCCAGGACTGGTATACCCATTGTAGGTCTGGTCTGCAGTGACGGTGCTGGAGTGGCTGCCTGGTATGCCTGGTGACACCTCCCCCATCCTGATGCCTGGCCCAGCTGTGCACCGGCTGCCCAAGCAGCTGGGAGCTGTGAGTCACACCCAGTGGGTACATAGGCGAAGGCCACTGCATGATTCACTGAGCTCCCCCTGGCCTGAAGGGATGACTAGGCCGTGAGCCCCGACTTCTGCCTACACCTGTGGATGAAGGGCTCTGTGTTTGCAGCTATGAGGTGGGCTTAGGGTCCTGTGCACACCTTCTCCCTCTGCCTCCTTTGGACCTGGACACCATGTCCCCCCACCCCGTGTGGAGGATCTGTGCCCCTGAAGTCAGGTGCAGCATTTTGTAGGCATTCCTGTATATTTTTCCCTAAAGAAAGTTTTGTCATTTTCTTCTGGTTGGCAGAGTACTGGGTGTCCCTGTGAGGTGCTGCCAGGGGCAGGAGTGCTGTGCTGTGGGCTGGAGTGACATGGCTGTGTGGTGCGGGTAGGAGGAGCGTGGTAGCCTCGCGGCGCCTTGGCTCATAGTGCTTTGGTCTCAGGCTGGCTGTCGGCTCTAAGCCGGCTCAGTTTACCAGCTGTGAGACCTTGGGTGACTTATTTATCTGTGCTTCAATATCCTCATGTAAAAATCAGAATCATAAGGGTATTTATTTCACAGTGCCATTGTTGGACTTTTAAATAAGATAGTGCACATAAAGGGCTTGTCCCAGTGTTCAGTGGAAAGCCATGACTTGGTGAGAGTTTGCCGCTGTGGTTTGCCCTCACTGTGCCACCGATTTTCCTTGCGATCCTGTGAATACCATTATCTCGGGTCATGGTCTCCTCCCCCAGCTGTGGACTCTGTCTGGGCTCTGGAGAGTGGGGCAAGGCTGGGGAGCAGCAGTGGGCACCGGGGGGGGGGGGGGGGGCGCCGGGGTGCCTGGGAGAGGGTCCGGCTTCTTCTGCGCCTGGGCTGGGACTGGTCCCGCCGGCGCAGGGTAGCTTCGTGTGTGTGTGTGTGTGTGTGTGTGTGTGTGGGAGGGGGGGGGGGGGGGCTCCTCACATTCTGAACTCCCTGCCCAGGCCCTCCCTGGCTTTGTCCTGAGGCAGGGTTATGTAACAGCAGGGCCTGGCCAGGCAGGACACGATTTTCAACCTCATTTTGTCCCTCCATTGTCTCTTCCTGTCCCTTCCCCCACAGGGCTGTTGTTAGCTGTTTTTCCTCAAGCTTTAGGCTTGAAATCAGACCCCTGCTAGTCTATCACCCGATTGATTTAGTCCTGGAGGTTTGCTGGCTCATGCCCCTCCTCCTACCACCTGGGCACCAAACAGAGCTGATGATTCTTGCTTTGGGTGCAGTGAGGGGCACTTTTTTTTTAGGAGGTGGGGGTAGGGAAGGCAGGTCACTTAGGTGCCTTAGGCCCCTGGTTTGCCTACTGAGCCCCAGGCCCATGAGGCCCCTGTGGGCCCCATCCTTGAAGAAGCCTCAGCTCCACAGTATGTTTTCTGTCTTCTTCTAAAAAACAGAGGTCACACTGGCAGGGTATGCCTGCCCCATGGGTAGACTTTGGTCAATGCCAAATATTGAGCTAGTTGCCAACAGGAGATTTTTACATAAAAACCTAGATATCTAGCTTTACTTCAAAAATAGGAAGACTGAAAACCTCAAGCCTGCCTTCTCCAGTGACTGGTGCTGGAGATGAGGCTTGGTGCTCCTCTCCACCCATGCCCTGCCAGCCATTCGGGTGATCTTTCTAGTTTCCGGAGGCTTCAGGGCTTGCAGGCTGTCTTCGAGGTGTGGGCTGCTCTCCCTGAGCCTGTTCCGCCTTATCTGCCTCCTGTAGGCTCATGGAGGCCTGTGGAGTGGGCCTGACACATTGCTGTCTCTTGAGCGCTGTGCTTAGGATCAGGACTGTACACAGCAGGGGCACAATAAGTGCTTCCTGTGGGAGGGGACAGGTGGCAGTGGTGAAGGTTGCATGTGGTGGGGGCCTGTGGCTCAGCATGCTTGGTGGCCCTCCAGTTCTCCCCCCAGATAAGCTCTAACACTAGCCACTGACCCAGGCAGCTTATTAAGCTGCAGATAAGAGCTCCTGAGAACACTGCCGTACCCTGTAGCCCAGCACCCAGGAGCCTTTCACCTGCAGCAGACACATAGATCTTGCTCCACGCTCACTGCATCGTGGAAGAAGCAGGAGACCAGCTGTAGACAGAAGGACAAGGTGAAGGGAGTACACTTCCCTGCAGGTGAGCCCCGGGCTACCCTTCCCCTCTGTTTGCTTTGTGTTCCAGTGAGAGCGGTTACTTTGTCCACTAGCTTCTTTGTCTAGCATCTGTCCATTCAAAGCTTATTGGCCTTGTAATTGAAATCCTAACTATGCCTTAAGGTCAGCTAAGATGTTGCCTCCTGTATCATGATTGTTCTGAGTACAAGAAAGCCCTGGAAAGCTTGCAAGAAATACATGTAGATTACTACTCTCCTTCTGCCCTACCCCTGCTCTGATTCCCTGCCTGGAGTACAGTGATACCCTCCCTGAAGATCTAGGCACAGGGGCCTTTAGATCACACCTTGAGAGCCCCATCTTAGTGCCCCAGCTGGCCAGGCCCAGAGTATTTCATGCTCAAGTTGGCAAACAGTTCAGGAGAGGCATGCTGTGCTCTGGAGAGAGAAGAGAAGGCCAGGAGTTGGGCTGGAGCAGGCAGGCCTAGGCATTGCCCGGAAGCCTCAACAGACCATTCATAGCTAAGTCAGCTGAGATGCATAGAGGGAGGAGCACTTTCTAGCATCATTCGTGAGCTACATGAGGCCAGACGGGCCCAGGTCCTGCCTCCAGGGAAGACCACACTCCTCTGGACCCACCTCTCTCTGCAGCATTAGGGGCAGATCACCCAACTGAGACAATCATCTGATTGTTTCTGGAAAAGCAAACCGTGGTCATAGCCATCCTAGAGGCATGAAGCTGGTTGGGTGTGCAAAGGACCCTTCAGCCATCCTGCATCCTAGTTTTTTTTTTTTTTTTTTTCAACTGTCTCTGTTGGACCAGCTGTCTCTGTGCCCACTTCCGGCTGGTGCTAGTTTTGTGATACCTTTTGTGAGAATGAAGCTTCCTTCTGTCCCCCTCATGATAACAGGAGAAGGGCAGGCATTGGGGCTGGGCTTCCTTCTTCCCCCTCCACTTGCTGGGAGTGCAGGGTGGTCCTGGAGGAGTGTGAGGGAGCTGGAGAAATCCCATTCATGTTCCCTCTGGCAGCCTGGTGCCAGGACCCAGAAGTTCCCTATCAGTAGTCAGAAGAATTCAGAGGCACCAGGTAGCGATGGAGAGAAGGCTTGCCCACTGGTTCTGGTGTTCTCAGAAAGGTCTGGGGCTCTGGACAGTGACTGATCATGTGAAAACTCTCAGGGCTGCAGTGGCACTGGTATGGTGTCAGTCTCCTGGTAACCCTGGTCTCTTCAGGGCTCTGCAGAGACCAAAAGCTGAATCTGATGGGGGAGATGATTTTACTGAGCATCTACTTTGTTCTAAGCTTTTTTCTAGGTGAACAGAGCAGACATTGTCCCTGGTGTGGACGTGAAGCTGCCACTTAAGTGGTGGGCCAGAATCAACAAACCAATCATATGCATGTACAAGGTTGCATGAAGCACTTGGAGTAAAACAAAGCTGAGTTAGAGATGGAAAATGTGATTTGAGGGTGTGGCTGTGCCAGTCAGGTAGGCATGGCTGCAGATTGTGGTAGGGACCAAGTCTGGGGGGAGCTGTCCAGGTGGAGGGAGCATGCACCCCAAGCACCCCAAGGCTGTGAGGCAGGAGGCTGAGGGCTGTATATGAGGGTGGCAGAGGTAGGATAGCCCACAGGGAGAACATGTGACATGGGCAGAAGGGGCCAGGCTTCTGGGCACATCAGGGCTTTGCTATGTGGCAGAGGGGTTGCAGGATGACCCGACCTGAGTTGGCTATTGTCACCAGATGAGCCAAGACAACAGAGAAGACAATGGCTCAGGGCATTGAGGTTCGGGGTGAGTATGGCACCAGGGCTCAGATTCTGAATTTATTCTGCAGGATGAGCTGACAGGATTTGCTGCCAGATTAAATGTGGGATATGAGAAGAAGACAGTGTTGGCTGCCAGGTTTCTGGGTTGAGGCCCTGGGAGGTCAGTGTTGCTACTGACTGAACCATAGAAGGGAGCGACAGGCAGGATTGTGGAGGCAAATGGAGGCTTGGGCTGAGCTGGGCCAGGTTGAGGGCATGTGCTGGGGTGGGTGGAGACGGTTCTGAACCTTTGTGTTCTAGTTGCTGCAGGGAGGTGAGTGCCCTGGAAAACCTCTTCAGCTCTGAGGCTGTTCTGTGAGAATAAAGTTTTCTTCTTCCCATGACAATTTTACTTCTCTCTTCTTTTAGACAGAAGCAGAAGTGATCTGGGAACAGCACATCATAGTGGAGATCTGGGCCTGGCTGCCTGGCCTGCCTTGTGGGTGAGGCCGGGGAAGTAGAAGAGGAGGCTGGAGGCCTCAGGCTTCGTCCTGGCCCTGCTGCCCTCTGGGAGAGCTTTGTGCCACACTTCCTCTGCAGTGTTGAATTGGCCCCCATGTTCAGAGGCTGGTGGACTGCACAGTGGTTAGGAACCTCAGCTTGGAGTCAGGAAGGTATGCGTGTGAATCCCTCCTCTGCCACTTGGTTGAGAGCCTCTGGGGAAGTGACATGACCCCTCAGCCTGGATCTTCTCATCTATAAAACTGGACCACCATAGTCCCTGCTTGCCAGCATTACTGTGAGGGCCAAATGAGTATTAAATACAGTCCTATCTTGGTGTTCAACTCCTTTGAAACTTGCTAAATTTGATACTTGATGCTTTTTCTTTTAAATTGTCTATTGGTATATTTTATATATACACAGGGCGCTTGATGCTTTTGACATGAAAATTTTGTTCAGGCCCTTGTCATTGTGCAGTACTTGGCCTGCCAGGTAGAACGTGTTGGTGTTGATTGCGTCACAACTTTCTGCTCTTTCCAGCCTGAACAACTCCTTTGGTACTGGTTGTCACTCTGTGACTCTAGAACCAATTAGCCATGAGTGCGGAGGTGACACCATATTCAGAAAGCACTCAAGCAAAGGCCATAGCACACCCATAACTAGAGGCAGGGAGGAATAATGGCCCTGTGTGGCTCATCAGGTTAAGGGGCTTGCCCAGGGGTGGTGGGAGCCAGAAATGGGGCAGGAGCACACTGGACCTGTGGTTTGGTGGGGCAGCCCTGAGTATAGGGGCTTAGGCTGAGTTTTCTTGGGAAGTCCCTGCCCCTTCACCTTCGGAGGGCCCTCATAGACTCTGCTCCTTCCTGGCCAGGGCTTTCCAGGATTGGCATGGTAACCTCTGTCTCACACAGGTCCCTTGGAGATGAAGGTGGTCATTTTCTTTACATTCCCCTGTAGGATTCCTTGTGATCATCCTAGTGGTCAGCTCTGTGGATGTGCGTGAGGGGCTTTGAGGACTGGTGACAGTGATGGGACTGCAGGAGCATATGGGGTTCTTGAGCCAGGCATGGTGGCACGTGCCTATAGTGTCAGCTATGCTGGAGATAAGGCAGGGAGATATCTTGAGCCTGAGAGTTAAAGGCCAGCCTGGGCAACGTAGCAAGACCTTAGAGTTGTGGGACAGGGCAGGGCCTAGAGTGGCATTCCACTGGGCACTTGGATGTGACCTTGGCTCCTGGTCTGAGTCCAGGCTGGGTGGTGCCTACTCCAGTGGAGCCGTGGAGAGGCTGACAATGGGTGGAATGAGGCCCCCTAAGGACCCATACTTCACTGGTGCCCAGGCATGCCAGCCAAGCCCTTCGCTGCTACAAGTCTCTTTTTCCAGCAGCTGAACTGTGCCAGGACAGCCAAGGACATTTCAGAGTCCCTGGGGCTTATGGCCAGGGCGTCACTGGGCATTGCTTGTTTTCCCAGGTCCAAGGGTCTCTCAGGGTGATGGGGGCTCTGGAGATGTCCCAGGGACTTTCCTTAACATTTGGGTAAATTGAGTTGCAGAAAAAGCAAGACACTTGACCAAGATCTCACCCAGCTTCCCTCTCCTATCTGTCACCTCCTTCTGTTCTCATGTCCTCTCCTCAGACTCCTGGCCTATTGCCCAGACAGACGTTTACAGCAGCCTCCCTCTTAGGCTCCTGAGAGTTTTGTTTGCCCTCTTATTATCGTAATCTTGCCATGCCCTGCCAGGCATACACACTGCTTGGTGTGTCTGGCCTCCTGTCCCTTTCCAGTGACTGCTTGAGATGGAGCCTCCCAGGTAGCTGTGCAGTACAGAGGTTTTTAGGCCTTAAGCCATGGAAACCAACCATGTGGGCTTGAATGCAGCTCTGCCCCTTCCTAGCCTGGTGACCCTGGCATAATGGCCCTCCTTCCTGGGCCTCAGCATCCCCTGTCTGTGCAGTGAAAGTGGTGGCAGCACTAACTAATGGGGTGGTAGGGATGGGTGCCTGAGAAGACACTGAAGAGGTGGCATGGAGCGAGCTCCCAAATGGTTGTCACAGAGGCCCATCAGGTCTGGTGGGAGCAACGGGGAGACCCAGACTGTAGGGCCCAGATTCACTCTCAAGCACCACTTCTCTGTGCCTTTTGAGGGTCCTTCATTCTCTGGGACCCCTACTTTCCTCTTCTAAGAAAAGGGGGGAAAATCCCAATAGTGTTTTTACAAAACTGTTGTGCAGCCAAAGCAAGGCCTGTGAAAGAGCTTTTAGTATGCAGCAATTTACAAATGGCGGGTGGTGGCTGTCTTGTGCAGATGGCAATGAGGACATTGTGGCCACGGTGAGGAACAACTGGCTGGCTGCAGGCCGGTCAGTGTGCGGAATGCTCAGCACCCACGCAGGCTTCCCGTTCCCGCCTGTCCCAGCCACTTTGCATGCTGGCCTCAGCATTATGTGCTAGAAAATGTGGGAGGTGCAAAGACCCTGTATATTTTCTGGGCCTGGTGGGTTTTGGGCTCCCAACAGCTGATGCCACAGGATGTGGGAATTAAGAGCTAGAAGTCACTGGATTGCATCTCAGCTAGTCGTTTTCCAGGTGTGAGATTGAACAAGTTGCCTAGCCTGTATGAGCCACAGTTTCCACATTTGCAAAATGAGGCTCTGTGGATGTGGAGGTGGTGAATTTAGCAAAGAGCCCAGCATCTGGTGCCAAGGGACAGTTGTGCGCAGTGCTTTCCACTGCAGGTGTGGTGGGTGATGGTATTATGTGCAGCTGGGGCTGTTGTGCCCATTTCTGGGGATTGCCAAAGGCCGCTATGCTTCCTATGAAATAGCCCAACGCAGGGCTAGGAGGGCCATATGTCTGGCTCAGTTAAGCTCAGTGTGAAAATACAAACAAGGCCCCAAAGGAAGGGTGCTGCTGCCTGAGGCCACAGGCAGGTGAGTCCAGGACTGGACTGACGTTGAGGCAAGCGCGGTCTCCAGGCACAGTCCTTGGAAGCGTGTAGCATGGGTGTGCAGCTGCATGGAGTGAGGACCTTCTTGGGCTGTATCCCTGCCCTTCATGCCTTGCTGAGCATGGTCCTGCTTTTGCCTGGGCCTGCCCCTGTGTACTGTTAAAGACACCTGGAGGCACCTCTAGAGTGTCACAGAAGCCTTCGTCCCCCTCATTGTTGGCCTGGTGAAGTAAGTCACCTGATGCTTTTTGCTGTGTCTTCCCTGCAGCTGCCCAAGCTCTAGAGAAAGCTGGGGCCTCCACCCACAGGCACCACCTGCGCCCCCCTCCCCAAGCTGTGCCTGCTGGAAGTGTGCCCAGTCTCTCACAACCGAGGTGTGTGGTGTGTTGGTAGTAGGCTCTTGTCCTGGTGACAAGCCCCAGCAGGTCCGGAGGGACAGGCTGCTTTCATGCGGCCCTCAGTGATGCCTTCTTGGTCTCAGCAGGCCCCGTGTTATGCCCACCAGGTCTCTGGGAGATTAGGGGGCTTCTGCAGATCTGAGTATTTCCAAGCTGTCCCCTTTGCCTGTGCCATCCTAGCCTGTGGGCCCCCCACTGCCCTGCTCTCATCATGGGGCCTGGATGCTTTTCAGTTTCCTAAGGCTTTGGCGCCTTCTAGAGCCAGCTGGTCTTGGGGAGTTCTGGATCATTCTCCCTGTCACCACTGCTGGGCCAGTTCATGGGGCTTCAGGTGACTACTTGGGGTGGCCAAGGCTGTTAATCCCTGGTCAGGTTCCTAAGGATTTACCTGTGGCTGGCAGGCCCCCAGGCCACCCGCGTGGCGTGAAGGAGTGCCTGGAAGGAAGCTCGGCCTGGCCTCTGTCCCAGGCCCCAGACAGACAGTCCCTTTTTTCCCTATTGCTGCTGTTGAGGCTGAGATACTGCTATCAGCTGAGGGCCTTTGCTTACCTTTGGCATCCTTTAAGGAGGCACATACCTTTTGGGGTGGACACTTGAAGTATTTTCTGCAAAGAAGCCACTAGCGCTGGGATACTGGAAAACCTCCAGGCTATCCTAGGCTGGCCTGTCCTGGCCCAGATCACTGTGTAACCAGCTAAGTCACCTCTCCTTTCTGGGCCTCAGCTTTGTAAAGCGTTTTCAGCTACAGCGTTTTGATGGACTCTAATCTGTTCTGTATTTCTGCCAGTCACCTTTCTTCCTCCCTGTGGGGTGGGGCAGAGGGAAGGGCCTGGCAGCTGACTGGGCTGGGGACAGAAGCCAGTGTAGCAGACACTTTGACCACCAGCTGGGTCTTGAGGGGATATCAATCTTCCTCTTCATCCAAGGACAGGTCAGGAAATTGAGGCCTGGAGGGAAAGGGCCTTGTCTAAGTTCACGTGGGCTATCAAGCAGAGATGGAGGCCCCTTATCTCTTTTGCCAGCGTGGGCTCCTGCTCCTGGCTACCACCTTTCTTGAGAGTGACCAGAGGACTCACTGGCATGAGGGTTGGGAACAGGCTTTCTCCTTGTCCTTGGAGGGCACCTCCTGGTGGGACCTTGCCTGCTGCAGGGCCCCCAGGCCCGAGGCAGACTTGGGGGAGGGAACTCCTCTGAATCCGGGAGGTAGGGGCTGGTGGCCCTGGCAAGGGAGGCGTTGAGGGTGGTAAAGGTTTCCAGGAACAGGGTTGGTGGCTGACAGTGCCCTAGGCCACCTCCCTCCTGGGGAGGGGACTGGGCTGACAGTAATGCCATTTGTTCTGGCTCTTGGATTAGGTGCAGCCGTGTGAAGTAAGGAGTGTGGAACCACTGAGAAGGCACAGCCAAGTGCAGAGGAACTGAGCAGCTGCCTGGAGCTCCTGGAACTCTGGTGAGTCTTGTCACTCTCTCTGGCACCCCTTAGTCTGTTCTGGCTTTCCCACACCCCTGGCTACCATCCCAAGCCCTCTGCCCTGTGCAGTTGTCCTAGATGTGTCTGACTATGTGCATACTGTGTGTACCCACGCAGGAGGCCTGTGGATACAGCTGGCCTGGAGCTCAGCACAGGGCTCCAGCTGTAGGTGGTACCAGGAGCCGGTACCTGAAGCCTCCCAGCTCCTGGCAGTACCCCAGGGTGATGGCCCAGGCTGGCAGCCTTCAGTCAGGAAAGAGGAGTGTGAAGGAAGTGTCAGGTTCTGCTGCAGTGCCCCCAGATGGACTGCTAGACCCGTCCACAGATCTGCCTGAGTCCAGCAGGTCACAAAGCAAAAGATCCTCAGGGCCCTGAGGGAGCCAGAATGATGAGTCCCAGGATGTTCGGATGGACATTCATGGCTTTAGTCCTTGTCTAGTCTTGGAGAGCCAGGGCTTGTCAAAGATGAGGTGCTGCTGGAGCATTTCCATGCGCTTTGTGTGGCTTTCAGTAGAAGCTAGTCTAAATTGGTGTGTCTGGGGGAAGTCTGCTAGCAGCCATCATTAGCCTATTACAAGGTTCTGTAACCCCCAGAATATCCAGCTTCTGCTGTGGTCCACATGTCTGTGCAGCTGGGGAAGCAGAGGCTCGGAGGAGGGAAGGTGCTGCCCAGAGACACACAGCAAACTTTGGAGGCGCCGAATCATCTCCCCTCCTCTCTTGGGGCTCTGTCCTCTGATCCCAACCAGATGGAGGCGATGCTGCCTTCTTAGCCCTAGTGTTCAGAGTCTGTGCTGCTGTTAATGCTGTGGAGTTTGACTCTGCCTCTGCAAGGTGGAGACCCCTCATGGTCCTGCTTCTCAGACTCTCCTGGGGCACTTGGCAGCCTGGAGCTGGGCATGTGGGAGCTACATGTTAGGTAGCCCAGCTCCTCTGCAGGGCAGCAGATGGAAGAAGCTCCCAGCACATAATTATTTTTACTTCACTGGGAATAAACAGCAAATAACCGTAATAGTGGGGAAGTACCTGGTCTTGTGCCTTACAGGCACCAAGCCCATGAAGCTGCTGGTCACCACTATTCTAAGTCATTTTGCCAGCTGAGATTATTTGCTTCTGATCCTCTCCTACCTCTGCCCTCTTAGCACAAGGCCATTGCCCAGGGGCTGGAGGCTGCCCCCTTTCTCAGGAGTCCTCTGGCTGAGGGCCTGCCTTTCTGGAGGGAGGTATAGCTTTCTGCCTATGTAAGCTTTGCTGGAGAAGCTGGGTCCACAGTCCTGGGCTGGATGCCTGCAGGCAGCAGTTTCCTAGCTGGACATGTCCAAGGAGCAGTGTGGGATGGTGTGCACCGGGACCCTTTGGGTAATGAGAGGGACTTCAAGGTGGGCTCAGGGAGGCCATTCTCACCAGTTTGCCCTCTCTGGGTCTCCTTGTCTATTAAGAGCATTGCCTTGCCACTGCTTGTGCAATGGCATTACCTCTGGGGTGTGAGGATCAAGGGAGGTAAAGCAAAGAATCTTGTCCTTGGGCCTGAGTGCAGCTGGTCTGGCCTCCGGCTCCCCATATGGCCCTGCCCCTGGCTGTCCAGGTTGTTTGCCTGGTAAACCCTCTCTTCAGATCTGGTGCAAAGGTGAGCATTCAGTGCAGACCATGTTGGGAGAAAGGCCAGTTCTCAGCAAGTGGTGTCTAGGTTCCCGAGGCTTTCTTATATTATAGTCTGTCCCTACCTGCCAGGATGCCCAGGACAGATAATCAAGTTGAAAAGTGTGGATTAAGCTGAGTTTTACACCTGTTGATTGGTGGAGCTTTGTGGGGCCTCTTCTAGGAGCTCTCATTAACCTCTGGTGGTGATGTTAAAATACCCACAAAAGGGAGCCGAGAACAGGATGTGTAGGACACCTGGAGATGTCAGCTGTCTCAGGTGGACAGAGGGAGGATGAGCCCAGCTCTGTGCTGAGCTTCCCAGTGACTCACCAGGCAATGCTGTGGGTCTCCCAGCTTCAGTTCCTTATTTGTGAAATGGGGAGAATGTAGGTCATGATGCTACCAAGGGGTGAAGTAATAGCGATGATGCAGGCATATGGAGTCTGAGATATGCAAGTTACCATTGTTGCTATGTTTAGCATGGAGATTCCCTGTTGCAGACTCAGGAAGGGGAAGGTAATTGGTCAGGGTAACAGCTCCAGCTCAGAGCACCTGACATGGGTAGGTGGTCGCTGGGCCTTGGAAGGTGGTGTATGTGGTGGGAGGCCAGTGTGCCCCTGAGACGACCGGCCACCGCTGGCCCTGGTATGGAGAGGCAGAAGGGTGCTCCCCACAGGGGCTGTTTAGTTCCACAGCAGGCAGAGTCCCGCTCCCAGCCAAAACAGACCGTGCCAGAAGAAACGTGGGCAGGGCTTTGGTGGCGGTGGGCAGACTGGCAGCCCGTGTCTGGGCTTCTTTCCCATCCCTCTCTCCAGGCCTGTGTCCCCTGTGCTCACTGCAGACTGCACTGTGACTACCAGCCAGACTACTGACAGTCCTTGCTGGTGGCAGTCCTGGTGGTGGTTTGGGTGACCAACAGGTGGCTGCTGGCCCTCAGCCAGGCAGCACTGTGGGTGGGGTGGGGTGGGTGGGGCACACAGTGATAGCATTAGAGAAGGGATTTACATCTGCTCTCTTGGCCTCCCATGGGTGTGATTGCGCTGAGAAACTGCACAGCTGGAAAGTGAATGTGGAGGGTGAGGTGGGTGGGGCAGGCTGTGGCGGAGTGACTGAGGGGTGTGGCTGCTGGTAGGTGGTGGTGTGACTGCTGTGGGTGTGGCAGACTGGGAGGGGTGGACTCTGCTGTAGGGAGTGACTGGGTGGGTACCTGTGGGACAGTCAGTGCCTGCTGTCACTACTGCCTCTCACCCCTTTCCCCGCCCAAGCAAGCCCTGCTACCCATTAAGGTGTTTTTCTCATTGACCTCTCTCAGCCTTCCTCCCCTGCCCCTCCCAAAGCCTGTGGTGCCTCCCAGCCTGGTGAGGTTTTACCCTGGCATCCACATGCATGTGAGTTAGTGTGTGTGCAGGTCAGTGGGCTGCATAGGAACACTCTCAGGAATGACCTAGCCCAGACACAAAATAGGTGCTGTCTGAGCCCCTGCGTGTGAAGGCTTCCCCCAGTCACCCTGAGCCCACCCATTCTTCCAGGGCCCAGCAGCATCACCCCAGACAGAAGACCAACATGCTTGAAGGTCTCTGGAAACCTGCTTTGTTTGAAGGTCTGGGTCATTACTGCTTTTTCAGGGCCTAGAGCTGTGCTGGGCACCTGGTGGAGCTTGGTGAATAACAGGCTGAGGGAATAGGGCGAATCATCTGCTCATTCCCCCCTCCCGGGGTAAAGTAGACTCTTTCCTGGAGCTCATCCTCTTCCTCACCCCTTCTGGCTTCAGTCCAAACTCCTGTCCTTTCTTTCTGGATCTGTTGGGAATTTGATGAATGTCCTTAGGCCAATTCTTCCCTGAGCCTCAGTTTTCAAATCTGTTGAATGGGCAATCATTCTTTTAGCCTAGATCATCTCTTGGTCTTGGCAGGTATCCCTCTAGACAGATTAAATAATACAAATCAGTTGGGGAAACTGAAGCTCAGAGTAGTTAAGAGATTTGCAGAGGTCACAAGGTCAGTAAACCAAAGAGCTGGAGTTCAAGCCCAGGGAGGCTGGTTCCAGGCTGAGACTTAACTGTGACACTGCCAGCCACCAAACTGGCTGGCAGCTCTTGGATTATTGGGGTGAAATGGGATGAACACACAGCCCCTGCCAGGGGCCTGCTGACACATAGATGTGAGTGTGTGGGCTGGGTTACTGGACACACTTCACCACTGGAGGTGCAGCTAGCTCAGTCTTGTGTTTGCCCTCAGGGAGCTCTGCTCTCATTCCTTGAGCCCACCCATTCATCAAGGGCCCAAGCTGGACCACTTCCCCACTTCTGGTCTTTGGACAGCTTGCTCTATAAGAAGTCCCCCCTTCTGTTGTGGGACCTGAGAGGATTATGGGGTCCAGAGCACTTTTGGGTAGGGAGTGACTTTCAAGTCTAGAGCAGTGGCCACGGTTACTGTGGCATTTCCCGAAAGTGCAGTGTTGCCATGGTGTCTCCATGACAACCAGAGCATCTCATTCATTATCTCCAGCACCTTGGCTGGGAAAGCTGGGGCTGAGGCTAGGGCTGGGAGAACAAGGTAGACTGGCTGAGGGCTAGAGGTCATGTAGCTGGGGTCCACTGCATACTCCCCAGTCAAGGGTCCCTTGAAGGCTCTGAAACACCCTCTCTTGTGGGGCCAGGGTTCAAATTTTAGCTCTTCCACTGAATAGCTATGTGAATTTGGGCAAATGATTTAACATGCCTGAGTCTTATTTTCCTCAACTGTAAATGTGGATAATAACAATATTAGTAAGGATTAAACAAGATAAGTCATGAAAAGTGCTTAGCATGGTGTCAGGCTTGTACTAAATACTCAAGGTATGGCCTCAGTATACGATGGTAATTATTATTTTTAAATTTTATTTATTTATTTATGAGTGTGTGGGGGGTAGCTCAGCCCACTCGGGGGCGGGGCTGGCTGGCATGTGGTGCTGGGGGATTGAACCGCAGTCCTTGTGCTTTGCTAAGCTTGTTCTAAGTAGGCGCTTTAGACCACTGAGCCATCTCACCAGCCCCACGATGGTAATTATAATGCTGTTTTTGCTATTATTATCTAAAAAACTCCTGGGTGCACCTGTAATCCCAGCTCTTGGAAGGCTGTAAACAGGAAAATCACTGAGTTCGTTCTAGTAGTGAGACCCTGAACACCTTGTAGACCCTTCCCTAAAAAAAAAAAAAAAAAAAAAAAAAAAAAAGAAAGAAAAGAAACATAAATAAAAAAAACACTCCTGGGTTTCATGGAGGGAGAAAAGAACAAACTTAGACTTACTTGAATCAGCTTGGCAAGCGTGGGGTCCTGAGTTTGCTTTTTGGTACCCCA